TGTATTACTATTCCAACTTCACGTTTTTTACTTATCAGGGTATGGAGCCCCTGTGATAAACGAGGAACCACTGTACTTATTAGTTGTGCGAATTTCATAAATAAATAATCATAAACCAAATATGTCTAAGATTTCTTCTTGCTCAAATCATTTCTGATCATTTGCAGCAGTGGTTGGACGTGTTCTCGTATAGATTCTCTAAACGTTCCAAACAAATCAATCAACCTTTATTTATACAGGTAAATCCCATGGGCAGGAGTACCACAGTGCTGGTTTATTATCAGTTAAACTGGATGTTATAATATTTTTATGAAATTTTCTTGGCTTATTCTGTTTTGTAGCGATTAGACCCATGCATGCAGACAAACACATAACGCTTGAAATATTCAACTAAAAACATTTAATTGAAGTATACAAATAAGCTGAAACAACACCAGAATAAAGGTGGAGTTGAAACTGAGGACAGGGGCTGATGAACAGAGCAGAGACACCTGGGCAAAATGACAACGGGGAACAGGTGTGAGTGGGCGGAGCTTTAGCTAAGGAGCAGAAGCTGATTGTGGAAGAAGTAGCAGATGGCACCTAACTGGGAAAACAATGAAACAAAGAAAAGAAAAAAGAAAAACCAGGACCAATGAGGGGAAAATGAATTTAAAATAAACTGAGACACACACACAAAAAAACCCACAGATAAACTGAAGTTTTACGCTTTTCTTTATAATAGTTATTTTTTAATGGTTAAAAAAAAAGTTTCTTTCTCTCTAAATGTTTCTTTTGTACCTTCAATTTGATTTTCTCCACCAAACCAACTTTTTGAAATGAACTCCATATTGAAATCATTTTACATTTGTTTCAAATTAGGATTGTGTTTATTCCATGGACTTAGATACATAATTTAATATCTCTAAGTTGTTTCTTTATTACTTTTCTTATGACAAAACACAATTTTAATCAAACCTATTGTCATTTTTTTTTGCATGTTTTGAGTGAGATCCACGACAGGGAGCTGCTCAGCCGCTCAGCTCTGACGTGAGATCAGATCAGCACAGCTGGCAGTGAATCACCTGCTGCTGATCATCATCTGCTGCTGATCACTGAGCAGCTAAAGAGAGAATCTTCACCACAGTTTTGTGACATGCAGAAGAAAACTTGTTCAAGTTCATTACTACCTTTGTAAAGTGGTACTTTATGTGTGAAACTTTTATGAAATTTGTGAAGACGCAGTGACTGCTCAGCTATATTGTTGTATTTATTTCACCCCAACTCATCCGTTCGAGACGTAACATATTGTTTTTGTTTATTTATTTACTTATTTTGGGACAGAGTGTTGCGAGTGTATTCTTACTCCGACATGTTCTTGTTCTTTCACGTTGAGAGTCCTCGTGTTTAGTTTGTCTTGTTTTCAAGTCTCTAAATCTGTTCTGTCATTCTTGCTGACAGTCAGCCACGCTCACATGCTCGTAACGTTCATTAGTTTCATCTGTTTACGTTCATAATCATCCCCCACCCCCAGCTTATTTATAGTCCTAGTTTCCTCTCACTCACTCATCAGTCTGTCATCTTGTCTGTTATCGGCTTGTAGTCCTGGATTGTGAAAGTGCTACAAATTAAAATTTGTGTCTGTATTACACTCAGGTGGAGCAGCTATGTAAGCGCCCGAGGAGCAGCGAGAGAACAGGTGTCTTGCTACCCCATCCCTGCTCTCAGACCCTCGGTCTCGGTGTGGTCCACACTTTATCAAACAGTGGAGTCAGAAGAAATCTCCTGACTGAGTGAAAGCTTTGTGGAGTATCCGAGCACGCAGGTACCGGTAAATGCACGTTGGGGTGTAAGTAAGGGCGCACGTGTGAGAATACCTTTATCTTTACATCTCTGCAGTTCCAGTCCAAGACCAAGTCCGAGACCAAAGATTAAAGTTACGATCGCTACAGCCAAGACACCAACCTGTCCAACACAAGTTCATCAAAACAACAACATAAAACAACAACAATAACAACACAGTGTGCGTTGATAAGATGACATCATTTAGTACCGGTAGTGCAGCTTTAACTGAACCTGGTAACTTTATGTCCCCATAATATCGTAGCATTTTCTTTGGGCAGACCGTAAAAGCTTGTTTTAAAATGTCTTTATGATTCACAAATGCAGACAATCATTCAGAAGCAATCATACGTTTGCATTGTTGGCCGTTTGTTTAGGCTGAGAAATAAATGTTAACAATCGTCAACATGTATTTTATTTTATTATTTTTCAAAAGACAATACTGGAAGCAAAATGGTGTAAAATTTGGAAATGTATCATCAAGATGGATTCGTCTTTATTTGGGTCTCTTGAACACTTTATTGTCCATATCCTTCTTCATAGATGTCCATTTTATATTTATTGTTGCTCCAATATTAATAGTAAATATGAGTAAAATCTGCTCTAATTTATTAAACAAATAATTCAGAACACTGTTTATTACTTGTTCTGCTCAATAGCAAAGTTATGAAAAGCACAAATTTAACCTCAATTACGTCTAAAATAAAAAATAAAAATGGCTTCTCCTATATTCAAGCATCCCATGAAAGATTTGGGGATTGTTTTTCTACAAATACCCTTCCTGACGCAATCTGGACTCAAACCCACAACTTCAAGGCTATGAGACATTAACACTGACCACCGAGCTACCGCACCCTGACCTCACTTACCCCTAAAATCCATGAAGCTTTTCTGAAACATGCATTGTTCCATAGTATTTGTGTTGTGTAACACGCACAAAAACAAGTTTTCACTAAAGTGAAATTAATTAAAAACATATCGTCTCCATTAAAATAATCCACAACTAGAAAATGCCGAAATAAATAAAGTCATTATTGTCACTTGGGTTTGTGTTTTATGATTTGCTCTATTAATGATAAGGTTTTAAAGATGAATGGATTTCTCTGGCGCTGTAATGTGCTGCTCTAAGCACGTTTACATGAAGTGTTGTGTTTAATGTAAAGGCTAAATTCATTGGAAGTTTCTTGTGAAATTTATTCCAGAGCAAACAGCAGTACTCACAATGATTTTCTTTTTGTTTTCCTGCGCCGCTTTTCTCCAGTTCATGGCTACGAGGAGTCCTCTGGTTGACAGAAAAGAGGATTTATCTCTCCGGTGACCTCTGGACCAGGTGTAGGCAACAGCGATGTGACTGATTGACAGAAGGCGATGGTTTCACACATTTTATGTGTCCAAACCCAGTCAAACTACAAACTGATGAAGTCCCTTCTGACACTTTTTATCTTAAGAAGCTCTGCAGGACACGACAGATGAAAGCGCAGAGAACAATAAGCAGCACTGTGGGCAATGATTAACCAGGACCTCACATGGATCCATGCTCTATCTGACAGATAACAGCTGGGAATTTAATTTTACTTTGACAAACATGAAGATTATTGCACGTGTTGGTGATAACTTGTAACAAGTGTGGCTTATTTAAGACTAAATATTGTCTGATAATCTGCAGGCGGCAAATAAACATTTGTTTGATCGAAGCAGGTTCAGATAAATCTTAAACCTTGCGCTTGAATCTACGATAAAGAGCTTAACTTGATAAGATATTGAAATTATAATTAATGGAAAAAAAACTTTCACCTGATAGACGTCCTTCAAACTAAGAAGAGTTGAGAGAATAACACCGCCCTGCCAGTATCAAGCCTTCAATACACCCAATAATGTTCAGTCAGGTCATCTGGACGGTTTATTTTTTTGCTGAGACGTTTTGTCCTTCATCCAAAGGACTTCCTCAACCTGAAAAGGCACCAAACAAAACAGATTCCCACTAACAGCATACTCCATAGTGGGGAAAAAAAAACAGTTTGCTGATGCTACGATGCTTCTCAGTTGAGGAAGTCCTTTGGATGAAGGACGAAACGTCTCAGCAAAAAAAATAAACCATCCAGATGACCTAACTGTGAACATTGTTGGCTTTTTTACCTGGATTATTGAGGATGAACTTTGATGTGTTGAACCACTCTGATATGACTGTCTCAGAGGGGTTGACGAGGGAGAGGGCGGGCCCCGGAGGAGAGGGCGGGCCCCAGAGGCCATCTTATAACCAGCAAACTGTTTTTTTTTCCCCCAATAAGAAGTATGTTGTTATAATAATAATAATGTCCATCCACCACCAGGTGGTGCAGTGGGCAGCTATTGAAAGTGCCCGGGAAGAAACTGGAGATAAGGTGTGCTGCTCAGAGACACCACGAGATGTGAAATGACTGGGAATCAAACTTGGGACTTTCAGGTCCTGATTCGACTGCCCTGCCTCTACACCATCAGTTTTGTTTGTGGCTTCTCGGATTGAGGAAGTCCTTTGGATGAAGGATGAAACGGCTCAGCAAAAAAAAAAAAAAAAAAAATGTCCAGATGACCTGACTGAGCATTGTTGGATGTATACCTGGATTACTGAGCATGAACTTTGGTGCTTTCAAGCCACCATTTTTTGAACAAATTTAAACAAGTGACTTAAACAAATTTAATTAACTCCATTCATTCATTCATTCATTCATTCATTATTTCATTCTTTCGTTCGTTCATTCATTCATTTTCTTTTACCCACTTTCTTCCTTCTGGGTCTTTCTACATCAGTCATTATGAAAGTCATAATGAAACTACTTTAACTGTAACTTCTAAGCAAAAATGGAAATTATACAATTGTAGGCTGACATTTTTAAAGGATTACAAGAAATAGAAAGTGGATTCATAGACCATTATAGTTTTTTTTTAACCTTTTAAATGTGGCTTATGTCAGGATTTCACCAACTGAAATATGTCCATCTTCATAATAATAACAATAAGACGGATATTTGTTTTAATTTTTTTAAACCTAACTTTCCTTTCAATAAAACACATTGAGTTTTGCTTTAGTATAAAGCAAATAATAAAATAAAAGTGCATTATTTGAATCCCACTGTCCACCTATGATGCATTTTGAAAATATATCTGAGAGACTTGACTCATTTCTAAAACAACAAATACACCCAGTTCCAGTTTTGAATGTGTCAGTAATGAGCTGAGTGCAAGTTTCTACATGTCTCTACACTGTCCAAATATTTTGACTCACCATCTAAGGTATTTTCTTTCCACCTTCCAAGAAAAATGTTGTTATACTCAAAAAAGCAGTTTTGAGCAAACATATACAGTCATTCTGAAAGGTATGAATGATACCATGTCAAGTGAATTTCTTTCTATGACTTGTTTTCAGTGTATTGTTAATAACATGATTTGATAAAGGGATGTAATTTAGACTCATGAACCAGTTAGGCAAAAGAAAAGATCCTAAACTCAAGGGATGAGACAGTCTCGTGCTGAGTTTAGCAAAACATCTAATTTTAATTTGTAGAATATAATTTATTTGCAACGTTAAGATTACTATCCTCCAAAAACTTATACTTTAATTTGATGTGCATTTTTTAACTTTCCCTAGCAATTGGGAATAATAGGACCTCATAGACAATAAAATGAACAAATATTGTTTTTGTTTGTTAGTTTAAAGATGAACAATTATTATCAAAGAGTTAAAAATATAAAACAAACTCAGAAATACACATTTTAAAACTGTCAACTGAAACCAAGTGCCTTAAATGAGGACAAGTCCAAAACTCCACACAGTAGAATACGTTGCATATATGTTTCTATGAGAGGATCTGAGTTTGTACATCAAGGTTTACATAAAATTGTCTGTGTATTTTGATTATTGTCAATAGTCAATATACTCTTTTGTTTCCTTTTTCAGCTGAAGTTACCAAAATAACTGACAAATTCAGTACACTTTGAACTCTATAGCATTGCAATTTTACATAAAGAAGACAATTCCCATACACAAAAAAAAGAAAAAGCTTATTATAGCACAATGTGCTATAAATTTGTAATTTTTTTGTAAACTGCACAAGTGAAAGAGAGCAGAAGTTTGTTGCAGATTTAGATCAGACAAACAGTATTTTTGTGCACTGTGTCCTCCAAGAACAAAAAAAAAACTTCAGTCACATGACACAAGATAATATTTGTCAACTTTATGACTAGTTTGACACACTTTGTCTGGGGATCACCTTTGTGTTGCCAAACGTGCTACAATGAGTCATACGTGAGATAAATCAGCATTTTGAGGAGGTTCCCTGTCTGCAGGAACTAGAAATAATGCTCAAAAGACGGAAAACCTATAATGTTGTGGGAGTTCACTATGATGTAGGGTCATGTGTCACGATCGGGTTTTGGGATTCTTAATAAGCCAGACACAGGAGTGCAAAAAAGCAAGAACAGTTTTTATTTAATTGGCTGCTGGTTGCTGGATGGAGGAGTCAGAGTCCAGGTGTGAGTCCAATCTTAAAGACAGAGAGGTTAGTGACTTTAGCCAGGACGAGGAGGTTCTGTGGGTTATTGCTGAAGCCACTAACCTTCTCAATCTTGTAACATGGCAGGTGCTGTTGTCCATCTGCAGCCGGTGATGTCACTCATGCAAAGTGAGCTGCTACAGCAGAGCAGACTGAAGACATGATCCAGGCAGGGGAAATCCAGATATATGGTCCAATAGGCATAGCGGGGTTCAAGCACGGAGAAGCAGAGAACAGAAACCAGAGCCAAGTCGTGATCCAAAAGCGTAGTCAAAGGGGAAGGTGCAGAGTCAGAAACCGTGGTCAGATGAGCAGATTAAATCCAAAAGGGTCAGGCAAGGTGAGAAGTCAAAAAACATGCGAGGGTTCAAGACAAGGATACAAGGCTATAGAAACAGAATTCTATGAATGGCTTTACTATTAGGGACCATGGAAGGTATAATAATTTGGCAGGGACAGAGAATGAGCATGGGACTTAAAAAGAGAGCTGAACAGGTTAATGGAATGAAGTCTGATTGCTGTGCTTAGGCTGAGGGGGTGTAGTGAATGGTTGACTGACAGGAGCTGATGTGGGCAATGGGAGATAGGTGATAGGCAAAGCACAGCAGGGAAACATAAACAATGGCATGAGGGGCAGAAACCTGGCATGAAGAGTAGAAGCTTGAGCAGATGAGGGGTCAACGGGGGGCGCTGACCATTTCTTCATGAGCACAGTTCACTGTAATGTAGGTATGATGTAGGGTCATGAGTACAGTTCAGTATAAGGTAGAATCATGAGCACAGTTCACTATGATGGAAGGTCATGAGCACAGTATATATAAACATATATACATTTTATTTTATTATTTTTTTTATTACTTTTTCTTTTTGCTGTGTGTTGTCGTCATTGTATGTTCCCATACAATGACAAAATTTGTGCTCTGCATTTAACTCATCACACATGAGATACACCCAGGTGGAACAGTGGACAGTTCACTATGATGTTAGGTCATAAGCACAATTCACAATGATGTAAAAAGTGAAACCGTCCATGTTTTTCAGTCTAACAGACAAGCTGCTGTAGATCAGAATGGCATCGCGCCCCTATCGCGCGGCCCCCTGGTGGGGTGTGCCCTTGCCTGCCGGCGCGCTTGGGGCCCTTGGTATCGGGGGCTGGGCGCTTGGGCGTGTGTCGGCTCGGCCTGGTGTCTGCCTGGTGGGGCTCGGGTCCTCTGGCCCTGTCAGGCCTTGGCCTGGGTGGTGCGAGTCCTCGGTGCCCGGGCCTCGGTGCCTGGACCTGGACCTACATCGGTGCGGCGGGTGCCGACGGGGGCCTATGAGTTTGTCGCTGTTGGCCCCGGGGGGTCACTGTATGTGGTTGCTGGTGGGGATCTTCCGGTTCTCCCCTGTGGTCCGTTCTGGGGGGTGGGTGAGTGGTTCGTCCTGTGTGGGTGGCTCTGGGGGCTCCGCGGTCGGGGTCCCTCCTGGGGTCTTGGACTCTGGTCCCCCCTTTTTCATCTGCCTCTGGTCTTGGGGGTCGGGTCTCTGCTGCTTCACAGTTACTAATAAATGTTCTATTAGAGAAGCCTTATACACTTATGCATGCTCACAACCACACACAAATAGAAGCAGGGATGCTTATTTAGGCTTTATATGTAGATATATAGATATGTATGTGAGTGTATATTCATGTGTATGTATGTATGTATGTATATAGGCGTAGGTATGGGTATATATATTTATGGAAACTTACTGCAAAGCCATGAATATTTTAAGTTCT